TTTTCATAGTAACATCCCTTACTGTTCTTCTGAACAAAGCTTATTGTGTATATTCAATTTTGTAAGACAGCTTTGCTGGAACAAATTTTACCTTTCCTTGGGCTCACAGTTGTTTATGATGCCCAACTGGTGAATTACATGGCAATAAAGATCACTTTTATGACACTACAATGATTCTCATAAACAATTAAGGTTCTTATTTTTATATTTCAGCCATAAATTACTTCATGTGTTATTTTCTTAACGTACCAGATTAGCAGGGAATTCCCTTGTAAACATAAAAGTGGGGGGTTTATGGGCTTTGGAAACCAAAACCAGTTGCAAAACAAACTGAGACCAATGACATAATGGAAAAATAACTGTTAATGCTGGCACCTAGGATAGATCCCTGGGCTGTATTATTACTTTCTCAAATTCCTGGAACAGGCAATAAGATATACAAGAAAACCCCAGGAAATAGTTCTCTGGAGCAAAAAGGAGTAGAAATCCAAAACAGTGCTTGTAGTCATGTATATACCTTAGACAAACTCTAGGTTTTTCTGTGTTCATAGTATTTGATTTTCATCTCATGTTTTCTGGTTCATTTCTCTTGTTGAGTGTCTGGGTAAACCTCTGACTAAAGTTGACGTTAATATTCTGGATTAAATAAAAGGGTTTTTATGGTGTCAGGGTGGATCAAAGTAGAAGATTCCTTGGCTGTAGGAGAAAGATCATGTTGGGTGTTATCTGTCTTGGAAGCCAAAATGAAGTCTCCTTCAGGAGTAGAGTTTCTGGGATTATTGCAGATAAATATGGTTGAATAAGGGCCTCAATGGTAGTGACATCAGTAAAACGGAACACAACTGTCTCTCTTTCCTCCATCAAGTTAGGTGTCCCTAAGTTAGTTGGGCTTTGAGGCCAAAAATGTGTAAGGAACTTGAAAATTTTGCATTAAACAGAAATTGGTGCATATGCAGGAGTAGGCTGATGGTCAGATGTTAGAGGTACTCAAGAGGTTTTACAAGTGCTTTAGCACATCTTCTTTCAAGAGGTCTTTTGTCTTGCATTACGTGACAAGAATGTTCTGCAGCCCACAAAAAAAATGAATTCCTAAAGCATATTTCTGAACAAGAGGAGAAATTCCTCACTGAAGACGTAATAGTATTTTCTCCCAGATGCATTGCGAGCTCTATCTATATAAACTAGAATAAACTTCTCAAAACAGTTCTTGGATATTGAAGTTCTTTACCTGTTCATGGAAATTTTAGTGTAGGCAGTATATGTTTCCCCCATATTTCTGTTCCATGCCTGAACACAGCTGCTGTTTAGACTGGCTGGATTTGAGTTTAGTTAGTAATTCCTCAAACCATTTAATCCTCCAGAGCTCCAAAAACCCCCAACGTGCATCTTTGCTCTGTTCCTTGGCTGCAGCTTGTTCCCTTGTGCCATTTGTGTCACATGTTAAAACAGTGCCGGCCAACTATTTTTCAGTGACTCGCCAAAGATATGGTGTTTGGAAATAAAAATCATAAAAAAAATAATCCTTAAACGTGGAGCCAAAGGATTGAGAAAGCTCTGAAGTGCTCTCCAGGCAGCACTGGTGCGTGCACTGGTCTCCCAGTTTCTGTAAGGCCTTATCTGAGATGGGCAGTAGAGTGTGATAGAGCCAGGGCTGCAGACTCGTTCTTGAAGCTCAGAAGTAGGGAGCTGCGATGCATTTCTCTTTCTCTTATTTCTGGCTGTTCTTTGAGACTATTTGCAACCTGGAAACGGGATCAACAACTGATCTAGGAGAGAAAAAGGGGAGGTATGGATTGATGGAGGGGTAAAAGGGCTGTTGCCTCCTGGTGAAAGTGCTGTGTGCTGCGGTATGTGGGATTGACGTGTGTGGCAACAGCAGCATCTCAAATGTACAGGTCACCCTGTCCTCAAATAGAGGTGTTGACTCAGCAAGCTATTAAGAGGTATTTTCTCCCTTATCTGCACGTGGGAGCATATTTGATATGGGAAAACGTCACACACCGGGCTTCTTTTGGTTTCTTTATTAACTGATGTACTTGAAGGCTGCACTATCAGACCTGTTTTTCTGCTGTAATGGCAAGTTATAGAATCATAGAATTTTCTGGGTTGGAAGGGACCTTTCAGATCATCTAGTCCAACCATCAATCTAACTCTGATAAAAGCCATCACTAAACCATGTCACTAAGAACTGTGTCAACCCGGCTTTTAAATGCTACCAGGGATGGTGCCTCAACCACTTCCCTGGGCAGCCCATTCCAAGGCTTAAGAACCCTTTCAGTGTAAAATTTTTTCCTAATATTCATCCTGAACCTTCCCTGGTGCAACTTGAGGCCATTTTCTCTTGTCCCATCGCCTGTGACTTGGGAGAAGAGACCGACCCCCTCTGGCTACACCCTCCTTTCAGGGAGTTGTAGAGAGCCAGAAGGTCTCTCCTCAGCCTCCTTTTCTCCAGGCTGAACACCCCCAGCTCCCTCAGCCTCTCCTCATGAGACTTGTGCTCCAGACCCCTCACCAGCTTCCTTGTCCTTCTCTGGAACCGCTCCAGCACCTCAATGTCTTTTTTTTGTGGTCAAGGGCCTGAAACTGGACACAGCCCTCGAGGTGGGGCCTCACCAGTGCCCAGTCCAGGGGGACAATCACCTCCTGAGTCCTACTCACCCTGCTGTTCCTCGCCTTATTTTTCAATGAGGAATTCCAGGCAGTTTCAAGTGGCAGGGAAAGGTATGAGGTGTGATGGGTCAGCTCGGGGTGGGCTGCCAGCAGCAGGCATTGAGTTTTAGAGATGTCTGCTGTCAGGGATCCTGAGAGAGCTCTCACTATGCCCCATAACACATGCACATGTAATCCAACCCATGGCAAATTCTGGAGCCCTTTGCATATAGATGTGTTCTGACCGTGGATTGAGCAGAGAAGATGCTTGGTTCTGGTTTGGAGGGGCTCACGCCGTTTCTGCTGGCCGTGCCAGGAGCACCAGGGTGCAGAGCAGCCCCTGCCATCATCTTGCCAGCGTGCCTTGCTCCAGCCCCTTGCCAACCACAGGTCTCATGTGCTCAGAAATAGTTTTGACAGGAAGCATTTCTCATAAAGTTCAGAAATGAAAGCCCTTTTCTGCTTTCCAGGCTTTGAAAGAAAGGAAGCAATGGTTTGATTGGTAATTGTGAAAACTGACTTAAAAACCATTTCTTCTTTTTGTCCTGGTTTGTTTATGTGGGCACTGGGAACCCAGAGACAAGAATGATTCTCTCTGCAGCTACTTCTTCATAGCAGGTTGCAGAGTGGGATTTTGGTCTGTGTCCTGAGAATTCCCTGGTTTTGGGATGAGGCTCCCCACTTTTTTAATCTACTGAGAGGTGCTGCTTTGCCCTTCAGTGTGGTGCTGCCTTCTGGTCTCAGCCACCTACGCTGACCCAGCAGTCGGTGTTGGCTGTCAATTCCCAAACCAGCTCTAAGAGATTCTCCTCCTGCGCTGTCAATTCTGCCCCGTACCCTGAGTGTCACTGCTCTTCTTTGACTTTCTCTGCAGTTTGGAGCCAAAAAATGTTTTGCCACAGGCAAAATCACAGCTTCCAGGACGAGCTACGTGACAGCGGGTGGGTATTCTTTGTGCACTAAGAGCTCTTTGGTGTACTGGCTGTGTGTCCTGAGGTATGTCATCTCATCAGTTCAGCACTTTTATAGCCCTGCAGATCTCTGCCCCCCACCTTCATTTCTAGTAGCCCCACCTAGCAGTGCCACGCAGGGCAGGGGGGATGGCAGCCCTCCCAAAGGCTGTCACAGCAGCTTATTTTGAGCTGCCTATGGATGAGTAGCACTGCTACGTGGGAGCTATAGCTGCCTATGGATGAGTAGCACTGCTACGTGGGAGCCATAGGCTCAGACTGGTGGGGTGGGTGAAACAGAACATGGAAAGGAGACCTTGCAGCTGCCATAATGCTGCTGTGCTTTGAGGATGCTCTTGTGTAGCATCTGTGCTGAGCCCCAGTCAGCTTTCTTTTGCTTTTTCCTGAGCCTGATTTCTGGAGGGTGTGCTCCCAGCTGCAGCCTCCAGGCAGACTGTGGGGTTACAGAATGTTCCCTTTCCTTACCCTCCTCTTCACTGGAAACAGGGTATTCCCTACGGAGCATACAGATGGCTTCCAGCGTTACAACACCCCTGTCGTCTCCGTCTCTGTTTCCCCCCCCCCTCCCCCCAACCCCACAAACAGAAAGAAAGGCAACAAATGGCTGTGGCTAGCTTCATAGTGGCTCTTTTTAATCCTGTTTTGTTTTAGTATTTGTGAATTTGGCAGTCTAAAGTATCGTGAATGGCACAAACATTTGTTTTTAATGTCAGCTTGCTGTGAAGTTACTGCTAAACAGGCTACGCAGGGAGCCAGCGTGGCAAACTGTAATGACAAAATTGCAGTCTTGGGACCTACTGAGAGAGTGGCTGCACCACCTTGTGTGTCACTCCTGGAAATGGGCACCTCTTGACTTGCTGGTGGCATATTTAACGTTGTCTCCAGTCATCTAGAAGCCTTGTACACATTGGGCCAGCATGGGCCCTACAAGAAGGAAGGGGGCAAGAGAAGTGAAATAAGGAAGGCACTGTTGAAAGAAGCCTCGCACCAGCCCTATCAGTCCCTGCAAAGAAGATAAGCTGGAGCAGCAAGTGTAAAATTCTGCAGAACAGGTCTTTGAAGCCTTCATTAAGTGGTCAGAGCTCTATTAAAGAGTAAATGTAAAAGTGACCCAACAAATACGTGCAGCATTAATCGCCAAGTGCTTTGCCAAGGACAATGAGCATTATTTTACCTGAGTCGCAAAGAGTCCGGGAATCAGAGAGGTTTCTTTGATTTACTGGGGGCTGTGCCAATGCTCTGCCCAGTCCTCTGGTTCCAGCTGCTCTGCCTGGTTACGTGACAGGCACAAATCCAGGTAAAGAGCAGGAGTGCTGCTGAAATATGCATGTTTTGGCAGGGTGTATCCTGGGCAGGGAATAAATTGACCTCAGCTCTGTGCTGCAGGCTCTCCTTGCACGGCAAGAAGACCCAGGAGAAGATCTCAAATCCAGCCCGTTCATATCACTGCTGCAGTATGTAGAGAGACAGATTTGCTACCCAGGACCCCATAAGCAGGTTCCTGGGAGGTTTTCGGGGGGGTGTGTGGTTTTTTCCCCCTGTGGTTTCCAGCTGCAGAGTCCCATGCAGCAGCGTGGACTTACCTTGCCTGCGCTGCTGAGAGACACCACTGCCCTGTGCTCCAGTCGGTGCTGCCCTGTGCTCCACAGCAAACAAAAGTGAAAATGAAAATCCATTTGCCTTTTAAAGAAGTGAGACGCTGGCGATGAGCCTTTTGCTCTGGGATCCAAGTCCCTTCTGCATCTCCTGTGTAAGGCTGTGGAAGAGAAGCTGAATGACCCGGGAGCTGGAAGGCTGCTCGGGTACATGGAGAAGGGAAGAAGAGAGGCATGAAGGCTTCCTCAGGTGCAAACAACTTTTGAGGTACTCACCCCGTTTTCTTCTTTAAGGGGCCCTGGCTTACAGCCAGCCTTGTCTTTTACAAATTATTGCTCTTTTTTCCTCTTTTTAAGTAGATATTCAGAAACAGGCACTAAAACAGCCTGTGACAAAATAGGGAAATGATTCATGTCTTTCAAATTTTCTTGGAGAGGAAGAATGTGTATTACTTGTCTTCATGACCTTGCTATATAAGTAAAACTGCTTTTCCCAGCCCTGACTGGCAACTTTCATGAAGTTCTGCACTGCTTCCACGTTACTTGTGTGAATGCGAAAACCCAGCAGCTTCATTGTGGTGCCCTTTCACGTAAGTGTGAGTGACCACAGAATACCATAGAATACCTTTGTTAAGAGCATTTTCATCTTTTCCCACATCTGCTTAACTTTTTTTTCTTTTTTTTTTTTTTTTTCTCCTAGCTCCTTAGCATGTTTTGATTATATTCCCTTTTCCAAAATTGCCATCCTGTCATATTTGCAAATGAAGGATAATTTGCCAGGAGGGTTGCAGTAGAAATCTTTGCAATTCTCTTCCTTTCCAGTGAGAAGCTGTCACCCAAGCTGGAGCTGATTGTGACTTGTTTTTCCTGTGGCTACTGCTCTGCTCCCAAAAGGGACTCGTGGGGATTCTGGTGGCTCTGGGCTCAGAGCAAAATGAAGGAGAGAACCAAACTAAAAAGCGTCAGTCTGCATGGATATTGCTTTTAAAGGAAAAGAAATTATAGCAGCAAACCAGTTCATGTTGCTTGCCTTGGTAGGCTGCAAGCAGCAAATAAAACCTTAGTAGTGTTTTCTAATGGTTATAGTGGAAATTTTTTTTAAGAGCAGTTGCTTGGAAGCCATGTGCTTTACTACCAGAATTTTTGCAGTGATTTTTTGGTTCAAGCAGAGTGTCCTGCTGTTTGCTTATCTTGATTGTGTTCTTTCCGTGATCTTGTTTTATGTTTGGGAGTGTTTTTTGTTGTTTTTTTTATTGCAAGAGCTTGTTGAGAGTGGTGGTCAGCAGATCAACAAAGGTGGAACAGGTAGTGAAAGTAAAACCCAAATTAGCTCTTCCGTAAATTCTACTCCTTTTTCAGGAAGGAACTTAGAGTGGAAAATAAAACCTGTAGGATCTTCTGCAGTTCTTTGGGGTTTGATTCGCTGCTTCCTTACTTCTTATAGTATTATTTTCTTCAAGTTGTTTGAAATGTAAGATGTGGGTGGGATATATAAATATCCGTGGGATATTTAGGTTACCAAATAAATTTTTTCTGAAAATCCTTCCACCAAGACACTTGTGCCTGACTGTATAAACCATATACTAAAATGTGCATAAAGCTGTAGACCCCTGGGGTGTGTGGCTGTAGGAGAGAGCAGGGTCAGGGAAATGCAGTATGTGCAGTTGGAAAATAGCACTGGATCTCTCGGCTCTGTCACTGCATTGGCCACCTCCTGCAGCTGGGATTTTGGGTGATCCCTGCCCTGTGCTGTCACCATGGGGGTCCCCACTGAAGTGGCAGCCTCAGGTGAGCTGTGCGGGTGGCAGAGGTGGGCAAGCCTGGGGATGCACGCTGGAAAGGCGGTGAGCTGGTTTAGGTGGTGCTGGAGTGGGAAAATGCAGGTGTCTAGCCAGGATATTCCAGGTCTTTAGCTTGTAACTTTGAGAGATGACCTTTCCTCTGGTAGAAATGATGTTATTGTGTTAACGACCAACTGACTTTCTTGTCTTGGTCAACATTGGAGTTGTTTATTGTGTTGTGTTTGCTATGAAGTTACTGGAGACGGAAAAGCAGGAGAGTTTTGGGGAGTGATTTCTATGCAAATAGATCTTTTCAAAAACAAAACCAAAGACCTTGTTAAGGCTCTACAAGTTTCTGTTTCTGGCTAAATCCACTTCTTCCTGCCAGTGAGCTCAGGTTGGCTTGTTCAGGGGGTCAGGTCTGAACTGGAGAAATGCTTATCAGCTGGGTGTGAATGATGAAGGAGCTCCAGCTCATCATCGTTGTGCCATTACTAATCTACTGCTTGCAGCTGATCCACTTTTAGGGTCTGGCATTGCTTCGTTCCAGCTGTGTAGACAACTTCAGTGGCTCTGAAAAGTGAAAGTTTGTATTGCCTTGAAAAGAAAGGCAAGCAGGCAAAAAACACGATGAAAAATACTTTCTGTCCCAAAGGTGTGTCTCATTTTTTCATTTGAGTGTTTTATTGTTAAAGTAAGTTTAAAACTGTTGGCAGGAGGTGGCCAACACAGCTGAAGGCTTTCAGAAACTTGCCAGAAAAGAGGATTTTAAGACTTTTGAAAATGAAGAGAAGAGTGAGTGTGGGAAGGAATGTCAGAGAGAAGAGGAAGGGAGATGTGCTTTGCGCACAGTGAGAGGAGGGACAAGGGTGGGGCAAGAAGACCACAAAAAAGAAGACAGAAGGAACGAGGCCAGAAGATGCAGACCTCAGTCTGAAAACTACTGGGGAAGAAATCGCTTGTTGTCCTTCACTTTTGGGCAGATCACTCACCAGATGTGCTGCAGCTGGTCTGCGAGGACTGCATGAGGCTGGTGAATGCGCTCCGAGGAGGACGAGGAGATATAATATGCTGGAGGTATTTAAAAGATGTGTAGACGTGGTGCTTAGGGACATGGTTTAGTGGTGGACTTGGCAGTGCCGAGTTAATGGTTGGACTCGATGTTCTTTAGGGTCTTTTCCAACCTAAATGATTCTATGTTTCAATGGTTGATGACAGTCCCTTGACGCTCTGCTGGCCTGCAGGGGCCATTGTTAATTGGTGCTTTGCAAAGCAGGAAACAGGATTTCACTGAATTTCACTGAATTTTTAGAGTTGGAAGGGACCGTAGAGATCATCTAGTCCAACTCCCCTGCTAAAGCAGGACCACCCAGAGCTTGTCAGAGCATGTTACTCAGGACTGCCTATAGGTGGGTCTTGAAAATCGCCAAAGAAGGGGCCTCCACACCCTCCCTGGGCAGCCTGTTCCAGGGCTCCGTCACCCTCACCGTGAAAAAGTTCTTCCTCATATTCAAGTGGAACCCTTTATGTTCCAACTTGTGCCCATTGCCCCTTGTCCTCTCACTGGCAACTACTGAAAAGAGTCTGGTTCCCTCCTCCCTCAGCCCGCCCTTGAGATACTTGTCAGCATTAATAAGGTCTCCCCTCAGCCTTCTCTTCTCCAGACTAAAGAGTCCCAGCTCTTTCAGCCTCTCCTCATAAGGGAGATGTTCCAGGATCAGTCAGTAACGTGAAATGGTACGGAGTCATCTGTTTTTGGAAAAAACCCAACCAAACCACTCAAAATCAAACAGACAGGAACTACTTTTAGAGGTATGGAAAGAAGATGCGAAAAGATGCTGTGCTTATTTGGTTCTCTGTACCACTCAAAATCAAACAGACAGGAACTACTATTAGATGTATGGAAAGAAGATGAGAAAAGATGCTGTGATTCTCTGAGTATTGCTAATACTTGGTGGGGCAGGAAGAAATTCTTGCCAGATGGTGTAGGTGAGCAGGAGCCCTGAGCGTAAAATGGAAGAGTTGGTCCCTCGTGTGGTGTGAAGTGGAAGTGGACGGATTGCACGGCTGTGGGTGTGCGTGGCGTGGAGCAGCGTGGGGACCTTGGCTTGGTCCGGCATCTCCCAGGCTTGGGCCCTACCTGGGGGTATCGAGAGCTTTTGGGGCCCTGCGGAGGGGCCCTGGATTTTATTGCACAGGAAATTTCTGCAGATGGTTTCACGGATTTCCTCCTGCGCTGTCAAACACTGGAAAGGGCTCGTTTTGTAGGTTTTGTTTTCCTCCTGTCTCATCCATTTCTGGGAATTGGGGTGGGACTTTCTGCAGCTCTTGACTAGTACATGTCACGAGAGATAAGTCAATTATTAACTTCTGCTTAAAAGAAAAGATTTAATGCATGATTAGGAATGAATGCATAATTAATTTGGAAACGTCCTCAAGTTAATTCTCAGGTAGCTGTTTTAACAAAGGTTTCCAATCAAAACCTCCTAGAAGCAAAACAGTTTGTGTTTTCCAGAGCAAGTCTAGTGAGAAAAGTGAATTTTCCAGATTGTTTTTCTTTCTTCTTTGGAAAGTGAAACTTGTGTTTTAATTAAGCATATTTCATAAGTTCATGACCGTTTCATTGAAATGATTGAGGAGGGATTTGTGACTGAATCCAATACATTTATTGAAAAGAAGTACTAAGTTTTTGTTTGTTTGTTGATTTAATTTGAACAAGTATTTCCTATCCTGTCTTCCAAATTAAAAATAAAATTCAATTTGACAGTAAATATTTCATCTTAGGTCAAGCAAAACACTCATTCAGCACAAAACATAGTCCATATCTAATTTTTGATGTGTTTTAGAAGTGGTATCAAGTCAAGATGTTATTTGTTGCATGTACGAGTGAAATGTGTGCAGGACCACTGCCTAGAGGAGCCTGGAGGACCTTGACATGGAGCCTCCTGCCCAGCAGGCTCAGGAGGGATTTCCCTTTCCCTGCAGACAGACCATGTGTCTCCTACTGCTGTGATTGACCCAGGGATGGGAAGGGATATGAGTTTGGCATTTGCAAAAGCCATACTGCAGTAGCAGCTGAGCAGATGAGTGTTTCTTTGCCTGTATTGCAGCTGTCTTGTTTAGACGAAGCTTTACAGCACTTGTCCTGGAAGTTGTTTTTTTGGATATAGTTTTTTTGTTGGTTGGTTTGTTTTTTTTTGTCTAGAGAATGATTATAAGAATGAGATCATGGCTGTTAAACACCTAATTTAATATTCAAACAGGGAGGTGACTGAGGGACGAGGCTGGTGAGCCTGCCCTAGGACCGTGGAGGATCTAAGAGACCATCCAACGCTGTTAGAGCTCAACACACAGGGCAGCCTGATGGACTCTCCCCACCTCTGGCGGTTGTGTTTCCTGCTTCTGACCATCGCAGCTCCCCGTGCAAGTGAGTCTCCTTGTTTGATCTCATTGCTTTTCACTGCACGTTAGTAGCTAAAAACTTTTAAACTGTTATTAGAAAGCTCAATTGTGGCCAGTTAAAACTAAGACCACAAAACAACTAAGGTGAGAAAAGGAATTAAGAAGGTGAAGGTTGATTTGTTTGACCTGTTGCAATCACTTAACTTGGGAAGGGCAACTTTTTTGGTCTGTCTGAAATCAGGAGAGGTGAGTCCTCTCTCAAAGGACTAGCTCTTTACCAGGACAGTCTGAATGAGTAAAACCCTGTTGTCAGGCCTCAGCACCCAGCCCCAGCGTACTCCAGTGCTTCAGCCAGGCTGCTGGTGAGTTTTGGCTTGGCTGTAAAACTGTTGCCTGGTGGAATATTGAACTGAATCAGTGGGACATAGGATCCAGCTGTATGTAGTCTGGCAACTCAGAGCTGGCCTTCGTTTGTCCAGGGATCTGGGTGCCTGCTGGAGATCTGCCTGATAGGATTATGCCAAGGAGTTTTGGAAGGGAAAAAAAGAACAACGGGTGATTTATCTGAGCCTGTCTGGGCAGAGAACCTCTTAGGTCAACAAGAGAAATGTCTTTCAACTCACTTCCCAAGCTGCCAGCTTCCTAGTTAAAACCCCAGTGGCAGCAAGGGGGGAATTATGTCGTATTTCTATCCCAAAACTTTATTTTGGGGGCTGGGCCCAGTACCATGTTTGCAGACAGTATCTCCTAAGCAATGGCTGGGTTTGTCCACCAGAACTCATCTAATTCTTTAACACTAAAAGTCTTGGGAGAAAACTGGTAGAAAATAATTTTTCTTTGTTTTCTCATGTAGCTATTGCCGTGCCCAGGGGCAGCCCTACTGGGATGACACAAGACTCTTCCTCTGGCAAAATGCATGTGATAGTCTACTACTGTAAAGACTGTGAGGTCAGCATATGCGAAGAAAACGATTACGGAGGCTTCGACAAAATTGTTGATACGGAAAATGAGACAATTTCAGATAAAAAAATTAAGTTGGAAATCAATGAAAAAAACATCAGTATGTGCTTTCAGCAAGAAAATACTTCTTATAAAGGAATTTATGGCATCTGGTGGCAGAAAAAAATGGGAATGGGAGACGCATGTGGCATTGTGGATTACGGAGGTATGGCCTACTAGGAGCCTGGCTATGAACATATGAGAAACATATTTCTGGTTATAAAACTGACCTGTTGTATATTTAGGCATACAGTGAGGCTAATGAGTAAACTAATTTGTCAAGAAGTCATTCACAAAAATAAATTAAATTCTCTCAGGTCAAACACTGCTTAGAACTACACTAGTAGAGATTCAGATAAATTCATGTTACTAGCTTGGAATGTGTGAATCCCATCTACTTCAGGCAGTGCACACAGAAATCTGGGTCTAGCCTAAAGAGCCATTCTGTGTTGCTCTTCTGTACAACTCAGTAAATAACCAGGAGGTAGCTTTCCAGCTTTCTCATGAAACTGTCAAATTCAGTGATAAAAATGCCTGTTAGTACATGTAGCAAGTGGCTCCAAGAAGGCAAAACTTCATGGTGAGCCAGGTTGCACAGGTGTAATTTAGTTGAACTCCATCCAAGTCAATGACATTTCACCAGTCTACCTGCGACTGAATGTATATTTGGCTTTGTCCTCCTGGCTGTAGATGATTCTTTGAAAAAAGGCTTTCATTACCTCTCTTGCTTGAGTTAGACCATCCTTTCTAATCTTATTGCTGACAGAAGAAAACAAGAAAAGAATCATAGAATGATTTGAGTTGGAAGGGACCTTAAAGATCATGTAGTTCTACCCCCCTGTCCTGGGCAGGGACACCTCCCACCAGACCAGGTTGCTCCAAGCCCCATTCAAGTGCTTGGCCTTGAACGCCTCCAGGGATGGGGCATCCACAGCTTCTTTGGACAACCTGGGCCAGGATCTCACCACCCTCACAGGAAAGAATTTCTTCCTATCTAATCTAAATGTCCCCTCTTTCAGTTTAAAACCGTTTCCCCTCATCCTGTCACTCCACTCCCTGATCAAGAGTCCCTCCCCATCTCTCCTGTAGCCCCCTTCAGATCCTGGAAGGGGCTCTGAGATCTCCTCGGAGCCTTCTCTTCTCCAGGATGAACACCCCCAACTCTCTCAACCTGTCCTCACAGCAGAGGGGCTTCAGCCATCTGATTATCTTTGTGGCCTCCTCTGGACCGTCTCCAACAGGTCGATGTCCTTCTTATGCTGGGGGCCCATTTTTCCACCTTACATATTCTCTTGTTCAGCCTAACAATTCCTTGTGTATTTAATTTCTGATCAGTGTAAACGGTTTCTCTCCTGGATTTATGCTTACCATTGCAAAATACCTACATGTTGTTACCACTATGTGAAGCTTGGATGCCACTAAAACATGCATAGTGACAATTGGAAATTGCTGTAGATGTACAAGCCTATATCCCTTGGAAGGGTGACCTGTGGGTGTGCTGAGTGTGGGATCTGTAGGTAGGAAAGAGTTTTCAATATAATGGCCTTTATATTTCTGACCTGTTAGAAGAGCAATAAGTTAGATAATGGCACAGTGGCATCAGGCTGGGTGGTAGATGCACTCTGGGGTCTCTGAGATTTTAACCCTGGATTGAAGATCTTATAAATAATCTATATTGTATTAAAATTTCTCTTACCTTTCAGCTTCCTCAGAAAATGGGAGTGGTAACATCATTAAAATTTGCTGTGCAGTAGACACAAACCATGAAAATACCAAACATTCCATGGAGTGCTACACGTCAGATGAGGAACCACCAACCAGAAAATCAGGAGTCAGCATCAGTGATGAGGAAGACCCAGGTTAGTCTCTTCTCGTGTTTGTTTGCCCTTTGCTTTGCAAGCGTTTTGCTCAGGCAGCTTGATATGACCAAAGCCTGATGTGGAAGGGGGCAGATGTACTGTACATTCACACTTTGGACCTGCATATGCTGTAGCCAACTCAGAGACTTTCCCCTAGCCCGTGAAGGTTCCCATTACTGAAAATACATACTTGTAGGTATAGGTTTCTGTAAGCATAGCTGTATAGCCCTAGAGGCAGGGATGCTGAGGGAAAGCGGTACGTGATGGGTATGCAACAATTCCACTTACCAGTAAATAATAAACAAGACTTTACCTCCAGACTGAGAGGACAATTGTCACACAGAGTTAGTTCTCTATCCAAATTTCTTTCACTGTAGAAACCCCTGACATCTTCCTTAGCTTATGGACAAATGAGGTGTCTTTACTTGAAACAAGTAAACTCTATCTTTTTCTGGTGGCAGTCGTTGGTAGAGGTATGGCTTTTTGCATTTCCTGTGTTGTTTGAGGGGTTTTTTTTGGTTTGGGATTTTTCTTTGGTAAATGTTGAATGTCGTTGGTAGAGGTATGGCTTTTTGCATTTTCCTGTGTTGTTTGAGGGTTTTTTTTTGGTTTGGGGTTTTTCTTTGGTAAATGTTGAACGTGTGCTGGATGATTCTATTATTTCTCTTCCAAATTAGACAAGTATTAAGATAACCTTTCTAGATATTTAAAGATGGTCAAGGCAGATTTCCTTAGTGGCCTTTGAACCCGTCATTAAGGATGGATTTTGCACCTCTTGTTTTTGCTTATTTCAAATGAGAGAGACTTTCAAAGGTATCTGTTGTGATGGAGAGTCAATATTAGCTTTCAATGTTGATAGAGTCATTCTTCTCTTACAGGTGTCTTCCTTAAGAGGCTATTTGTTCTCTCATTCACTGGTTTCTTCTCTCATTGTCAGCTTCTGTGGGCTCCATTGCAGAAGCATCAGGCCCAATTTTTCCTAACTGCTGCTCGTGAGGCAAGCTCATTTCTTGGCACAAATGTTTGATTCACTTGAACTGTATCTTCTTCTACCCTCCAGGTGTTGCTCAACCTCTAATGGGTGTAGATGACAGCACTGGCGTCATTGCCGCAATACTGATTCCTGGGGTTTGTGCAGCAGCACTGATAACGTTTTGTGTTCGACGGAACCGAAATGGTCAAGGTACAGTCTGACAAAATGTTATGTTTCCTTTTGGTAACAAGCCTTGCGAGCCGTGCTGGTGGTAGATAAAGCATGCAGGGTTTTCTTTCTGGATCTTATTTCCATAACGTTGTTTATGAAGTTGCTGACTGATATTTGCTGTGAAGGCGAGGCTGGGCTAACAGCTGGTAGGAACTCCACCTCTGCCTTAGGTGCCATGGTGCAGTCCCCAGTTGGCTGATTGATTATGAAAAATAAGCCCAGAAGACGTTTCCTCACTGCTACAGTAATATACAGCAAGTGACCACACTGCTCAGCCCTGTCTCAGTGGGATCCAGTGCCTTGGAGCAGTCTTGGACTGCGGCATTGCTGGGCAGCTTCCCCTGCAGAGACGTGTCCCAGCCCAGGGGATGGCTGAACGTCCAGATGTGGGCTGAGGGGTCCTTTGGGTGAGTGGTTCCTACTCACACCTCTGCCCACTAAAGAGCCGATTTTAATTTAAGACAGAGTATTTTCCTAGGTATGCCCAAGGGAGGAGTGTGTTTGTAAATGAATGTGCATGGAAAGGGCTGGGATAGGCTCTATGGAGTAAACAGCAAGTCATGTCAATAAGGTCTTCTGGAAATACCTGCCTTTCTTGGTATCACTCCCTGCTCTTCCGTCCTCCTCAACACAAAACCAGCAGCATTCTTAAAGCAAGATAATATTAAAGCACCTCATACTTTGGAAATAGTTGGGCTACAACAGAGTATAGAACTTGGGGTGCAACTGTGCTGTCCTATGGCAAAGTGTCACACCTGCTGTACGTGGTGGGGATTTGTGGGCAAAACACAAGGACTGTGGATGCCTTTGAGATGGATACCAAGGAGTTGCTCAGGAATTTCAGATAAATATAAATTGAGAAAAAACAACTGCAAGTCTGTTAGTTTTAATTCTTCCAAGTAAATCCTTGCTAATGCTGCTACTTTTTTTCTGTGCTGTTGTCTTCCTAGGGCCTGTCATGCTGATCCAGCAGTTTTTTGATGGTAAGATTTGACTTTTTGGGGTTTAATTCTGGTAAACGATAAAATTGCATTGCTACAATGCCAGGGGGCTGTTCAGTGGAGGCCTAGATGTGGTTACTGTGTTCAGTGGATGCCCATTTCCTCCCTGCATCAAGTAGATTTTAGTCACTGTATGACTTTGCAGTGGTTCCAGTGCTTGTGTGTGGACCATTTACACATTTCTACAGACACCCCTTGACTGTGACATACGGATTCCTCCTACATCTTGTAGCCAACTTGGCTCCAGGATTTATGGGACCCTGTGTAAGGGCAGGAATTGAGTCATCTCCTCTCAGTTACTGAACTAGTTCATCCTTTGAAAACCAATGTTGGTTGTTTCTTTCTAAAAGTCTAAGAATTAGATTCCTTCATCTGAATTTGGTTAAAGTTAACTTGTTGGTTAGAAGTTAGTTTAAGATTTTTATTTTGTATTCTCTTTCTAGTGAATGGAGAGAAATAGCTGTCTCAACGATGTTTCATCTCACCTTAATATGGTTTTAAGATGAAACAGGTGAATTACCTTGTGAAGGTGCCCGTTTCTATCTGGTGGTTTTAAGATGAAACAGGTGAATTACCTTGTGAAGGTGCCTGTTTCTATCTGGTAACTCTAAAGGAAGCCAATGGGAACAAGTTGAGATGTTTGCACATCTCCAGTTAGACAAAACACAAGGCTATCTGTGACAAGTGAAAGTAGTGCAAGTACTTGCAAAACCCAGTAAAGATAACACAACTCTGATTTCACTGGAGTTGTTATATTAAGAAATATTGATATATTGCTGTGATAGGTAAAAAACTGACTGCTAGTGGGTCTCCTGAGGTCCTGCCCTGTGGTGTAACTCTCAGTGATGTTTCAGGCCTGGCCTAGAGCCCTTCTAAAGCAGAGGCTGATGGGCCGCAGCAACCAGGGCAGGGTTTCAGCAGAGATGCCATGAACTCGCTGGGCAATGAAGCTGCAATTCTTTCACCTTTCAGAACAAGAGGTAGAACATTGGTAGCAACTGAAACAAGGCAGGTGCTCTGAGGTCTTCACACTCCAGATTTCCAAACTTAAATACAGGCAATTGGGTTATAATTCTCACTGAAATCAACTTGTGTCTTTGGTGGCCTCACAGATATTTTTCCTTCAATTCTACAGCTGCTGGAGGTAAAAACCTGGTCCCTGACATAGAAGACTTAGCATCTTTTGGCCAAAAAAGCTCCAAATGAGAAAACCAGGCCTCTGTGCCAGCAACATACTCCTCAGTACGGACATACAGTGTTCAGCTGAGTTTCTTTAGCTCATTTTATACGAGACCTTCTGGTAGTTTTCACAAATGTACCTTCATCAAATCTATGCATTCACTGAGGACTGGGACACTGAAGCCTTAGCTCATTTTATACGAGACCTTCTGGTAGTGAAATGTACCTTCACCAAATCTATACATTCACTGAGGACTGGGACACTGAAGCCTTCATGAGCAACGTGAGAAGCTCCCTGGATCTCCCATCCTCTCCTGGTGCTTTGCTAAGGATAGCAGTGATTGCAAGATGTGTGGCTGACTCAGCAGCACGGGTTTAAGCCAGCAGAATTCTCTCAATGTTTTTCATGATTGAAACTATCAGTTCGTCTGAAATTCTTCAAGAATCAGAAGAGATCAGATCTGTGATCAGGAAGGATGTGTTGAACCCTGAGGCAGATGCTCTCTGCATGTCTTAAATTTTGTAATGCAGTAGCACACCTATTGGTCTTTATTCTTTTTAACTCCCAGGTCTCTATAGCCAAAAAAGCATTTTGTACAGGTGACTGGTTTGTTGAGTAAGAGGGCTTTGGCCTTTTGAACAGACGTTATGTTTTGCAGCCACCTGCAGGGTGAGGACATCTCCTCTGAGTGCTCCTTCCTGTGCAAGGGTAGACAGGAGGGCTCTATCCAGCTCCCTCAGAAGTGGCATTGGGTCATAGGGGCTGTAGCTCCCTCCCAGCCTGAACAGAAGTACGATATCAAACTCCCTGACAAATTAGGTCATAATACTGCCAATTTAGTGTAGGATGCTATCAACAGTAACTCCAGGGGACAGGAAAACATACTGACGTACCTGCTCTCTTTACCTGCCAGAGAAGACTGCAATATTTCTGCATCTAGAGACAGGTTTGGGTGTCTGGGATGCACACAGTGTGTGATGAAATACTGCACTTCAGGGATCCCCTTTTGGTAGTTCACAGGCAGTATGTAATCTACAAATGATTTATCATTCATGGTTAATTAGAATAAACCCTCAAATTTTGCATTAGACCTAATCTAGTATCAGGCTTTTGAGCAAAAATCATCAGCAGCACAACTGAAAAAGCAGATCCCTGGAACAGTGTGAATACTTGGTGAATCATTTTTATATGGTTTAATTGCCCATAAACCTGTGGCTGAAACTTCCAGCAGGAAATCGCAAAGGGTGTCATGTGAACCTGACGTTTGCTACAATCACATCTGAAGGGAAACTTCCTAATGGAAGACGTTAAAGAAAAGAGTTACTAATTAACTGTAGAAATACAGAAAAGCCTCTGTGCTTAAACTGTGGTGGTGTTTGGCACAGAAGCCTAGTGCTGTCACACGTTGGGTTTTTTCCCCCTCCCCAGTGGGGACTTCAAACTCATGCTGACCTAACATACCTTTTTAACTCCATGCTCAGCTTATTTGTTAGATTTTGTCTTTTCAATTTTACGGGGGTGGAATGCAGTCAAAACTTCAATAAGAGATGGCAATCCCCAGCTATTCAAAGGCTTTTAGATATTTACGGAGTATGTTATTTTGATATCCAGTTGGGAACTCTTTTTATCTCATGATGAATGTTATAATATGTTTATTCGATAAGCTAAAGCTAAGGCTACCTGTAAAGAGTCCAGACTGTGCAAGGATTTAGAGATAGAAGGAAAAAAGACTTTTCCTCTTTATACAGCACCTTCACACAATTGCAGTTCCCGTTTTTTTTCCCCAGAACAGGACTGCTATAAGCTTTCAACAGAGTATGCCTGTGTCTAAAAGGAGCAAGGAGAAAAGTTTGGGAGAAAAGCAATCTTTTTTTGGAGGAAATAATTTATCTGATTATATATATATATATCTTTGAGTGGCCTAGGGAAAGAGCCACTCAAATTGGGTGTGGGGCCTTTCACTTTTTGACCCCACTGGAGCTAGTTTCCCTCTGCTGTATTACTCACATTATATTAACTTCAGGGATTCAGGTTTAACAATGTGCAGATTTAATTTCTACTCTTTGACACCAGTTGGGGCCAGAGAGCTGGACATGTTTTGACAAGAAAGGTTATATGGACGTCTTCGGCCAGTGACAGGGGGTGAGTGAAATTACTCACGAGTAGCAAGTCACAGACCGATCTTTATTGCTCACTCAAGCACACTTTGCTTTACATTTCATCTTTCTATTGATGATTATGCAGATTGTGATACTCAGTGGCATCACTACCAACTGTTTCACTTTGCCCTTCCTGAGTTGTGTTGTGCACATTGGTAGACACCCATCCTCCCATATCTCAGGGAAAACTGTCATAAATAGCTTTAAAGATCTACAATGCTTGTTCTAATCAAATGCCTCGTGTTGTTTTGCAGTATAAAAATATAGGCAAATACTTGTTTATGAAAGAAAAAAGTGACCGGCCAAATGGCATAATTTGATAATTGTAATTTCATTTTAATGATTTTTTTTTTGTATTACTCTACTCATCATAATAAAACATCAGCTTAAAAACAGGCTGTTCATTGTTAACCCTGTGTTGATCATATTGTTATTTGATATGTTAATCTCCTTTAAAAAGCATCACCATCACATGATTCCAAAGCTCATAATCCAGTATTATTGTCAGTTCACTTAAATATTGCAAAAGCAAAGACAGGAAGTAAGAGAGATCTCCTGGCATCTGCTTTGATATCCAGTGGTGCACCTCTGTAGGGCTACCTGAAAACTTATTTAACAGCCTTCCCGAACCCTGTTTGCTTTCCAATAATTGATGAAATTTCTGATCTTAAAAGCATTCAAGAAACTCTTTGGGAACAGAGTTTCCTACATATTCACGCAGAGAGCAGGCAGCCTGCAAAGCCTGTGGGAGCACTGAGAGACGGAATTGATTCTACCAAGCGCCTGCATTTCCAGTAAGGCCACAACAGGGAGATAATTGCCTGACTTTGGGACTGTGAAGAGCAACTTTGAGCCTAGCTTTTCTCAGGTGCCTGTAGAGAGTCTTTCTAATTCTGCCCTCAGGGTTGGGGGTTGTTCAGTGGTAGGAAACTGGGGGCGTTATAAGTGTGAAGTCAAAACCACAATACACCTCTTGAGAGAAATCTCTCTCCCTCCTCTCTGTCACGTTCTTTGTGATACTAAGGCAAAAGCGGCAAGTTACATTCTTTTATTAGACAACTGATGTAGCTGGAAGAAAACAGACCCTCTTGTAGCGTACAAGCCTTTCTTCACGTCTTTAACGCACGGAGAACAACTAAAAAGACCTTTGAAAATGCCGTGGATATCACATCTCCCAACTGCATCCCTCTTTCTTCTGCTTCTCCTGTGCTTCCCTGGTCAAAATGGTACGTACAATACAGACGCTTTCACATTTCACAGGTTTCAATATTTTCTCTTTCCTGTTTCCCCCCCTTAGATTATTGTCCCAAATGGGTTCCTGGCAAATTCACCATTAGCAGAGCCAGGTGGAACTTTGAAAAATATTCTCTGAAATTATAGAATGAGTTTTTAGAAAAGAATAATGAAAATTTATTGTGATTAGAACTTTTCTACATAGAAATTAATCTCTGTAGAAAGAGTGGAAGTTGTTTTACCAGTAGTTCAACATGAACTTTGTCTGCATCGTTATGGCTGACGGGGAGCCCACTACTGGATAGAAATGAAAATTGGTATTTACTAGAGACATAATTATTGAAGGTGTAATAAAACCTTACCAGGAATGTCCATTGCTGAATATTGTTGTAGCTGTTGAGAGAACAAGGTGGAGGAACACTTGGGGAAAACAGTGTGAATCTCTGAGGAAAACTGGCTGAGGAAAAAGATTTCTCCAAGCAATCAAGTTTTTCCTCCCATGACCATTGACAATAACTGGAAAGGCTGGTGACTTGAGAAAAAAATATTATTCATAAATCAGTATGTCTAAAAGGAAGATGCAGTGAATCTGTTAAGAATATTTATTTTGAGTAGTTTTGCCATTCTTTGCTAACGGTTGTTGAGGAGAGGAAGATGCAGTGAATCTGTTAAGAATATTTGAGTAGTTTTGCCTTTCTTTGTTAATGGTTGTTGAGGAGCCAATACTGATTTCCGCAAGTATAATTTAATTCTTGAACTTTTACGGTGGTCTTTTAGAGAAAACAATTGATGGGCTGTGGCTGCTTCTCGTTAGCTGCTTGGGTTCTTAGATCACATAAGTGTGGGTCAGCTCAGAAGTACTGATTTTAGGCTGATGGAACTGAATTTCCTGGGCTTTCCTTCCCTGCTCGTTAAGGCTGAGTGCTCTGAGCTTCTCCAGCCTTCTCCATCAGCCCATTTCTCTGCTGCTTTGGAATGACATTGCTGACAGCTCCTGGTTGCCTTAATTCCCTCTCTAACTGCTGTAGGAGCAATTTCCTTGTGTCTGGTCAGGTTGGACTGACCTACTCTATCTAAATTCCCATGATTTTCTTGTTCTATGTTTGTTCCCTTATTAAAATAAATTGGGTTTAGTATGTAGGGATCCTTAATTTTCTTGTCAACACTTACTAATTCTACCCTTTCTACACTGTGTTTGTCCTACATATGCAATACTCTGTATTTAATATTTATTTCCCTGCTTGTAATGTTGTAATGTAATTTCTTTTGGATGTTTCCCATTTGATCTCTCTGGTCCTCAATATTCATGGCATAAGTACTTACTGTTCAGTTTCTTTTGATATTAAGGTCGTTAGAGAACTCAAAGTGTCTCATTATATATTTTGATACCTTTGTTTCTTAGTATAGGCTTCAGGCTGGAGTTATTCCTTCTGCAGTTCTCTTCTAAGAGGCCACGCTATCCAGTTTTCTGATGTTGCTAGAGCAACTTTCAACTAAAAAAAGAAAAATAAAAAAAGTATAATTCTCTTATTTTCTGTGCCATTTACTAGTAGGATCATACTGGGAATCTATAGAGCAGACTCAATTTTTTGTAAGAATGACAGTAAGCTCTGGGGAGATGTTGAGTTGCACAGGTCAGTGGGCATGAAAGGCACTATAGGTTTCAGGACATCCAAGAGATGATACATACAGGACAGCAAGACTAAGGTTCTATTTTACAGAGCGGTTCTGTTGATCAAAAACTACTTTGATATTAATAGATCAAGAAGAACTCTGATATTATAATTTCAATTGCATGTCTTATTTTCAGGTGGAGAAGATGAACAATCAACAGAAATTGTCAGTGTTTGGGAAGGAGAGTCCATCAGCATAACTTGCTCACGTTCAGAAAATCAAGTGGGAATGTACTTGACGACTATCATACAGCCAACCAATGTGCTTTATGTTTCCGAGGAAAATAGTGATTTTATACATAGTGATTTCAAGAGTCGCCTCACCTATTCAAGAGAAGGAAGTAATCTCAAGATAACTCTGCACCGTTTACGGGAATCTGATTCCAGTATCTACCAATGCTCTAAGTATATTCTTAGCAAAGGGCATCACAAAAGGCTGAATGGGAAGGTGACCATACTAATGGTGAAAGGTATTGCAATTCCACCTTTTTATGTCATGAATGAATAAATGCAGATATATGTTTAAAATCAAAGATTGGAAAAAAGCATAATGGCAGGGAGACTCTGACAGAACTTTACCCGTGTCTGCTCAAGCAATGTACTGATTTAAAGGAAAGTGTGGGTCTGTTCCTTGAAAAGATGAAGAAAACACATTAGATAGAACAGCACCAGGAAAACCCCTAGAGCTTCAATTAATGACTAATTTAATCCTAACTACAGATTTTCCCACGAGTCGTAGGTTGCTGCAGCAGTTTGGAAACAGTGAGGGCCCACAGCACTTTCCAAAACAATCCGTCTAATCTGCCTGAATAACTTGCAAAGCAATGAGCCTTTTTCTTAGTAGCATTTTTTGCAAATCTCTTTTGTTTTCACTGTTTTTTTTTTCCTTTTCTTTTTTTTCCTCTTTTCATTACAAGATGGTTGAGTTCACAGTATTCTTTGGCAGCTTATTCCTCTATGTACCTACCCTTCTGATGAGACCATCTAACCTGAAACATCTTTAACAGAGATTGCAAGGTTTTCTTTCTTTCCCATCCCCAGGACATGCAAAACCTAATTGATTGCTGGATCAGTAATGGTCAGGATATCTATAAAGATTTATCACATCCTTCCGTAGGTTTCTCATTTCAAGCTAGTTCACCGTTTTCTCAAATGAGTTCCATCTTGTTGATTATGTACTGTTTGTCCAAGTTGTTTTATTAAATTACCTTATACCTCTTGTTGATTCTGATCAACTTCTCTAAAACGCTTGCAGCCTTCCCAGAATTATCTTTTGGACAAATGTTATAAGTGATGTCTTTATTCCCTCACCCCTGTTAATGATAAAGTCAAAAGGAACAGGTCATGTTCTCAGAGAAACTCAGTAAAATGTCTTCCTGACTGGACAGCAAGCCGTTAATAACTGCTTTTTGAAATCTATTTTCAACATTGATGGCACCCACATTGTATGGTTCCATCCAGACCGATAGTCCCCATATCTTTCTATGGCTTAATCTCACTTGACAAAGCAGCCAATGATCTGTTTCTCAAGGGCAAGCTGTCCCCATATCTTTCTATGGCTTAATCTCACTTGAGAAAGCAGCCAACGATCTGTTTCTCAAGGGCAGGCGATGGAGCTGTATTCCCTTGGAAGAGTTCAGTATATGTATTTTTTAGGTAGGTAGAGACACTTTACAACCAAGTAAACCTGCTCAGTCAGTCCTGCTTTCATATCCTGGGGCAGCAAAACATGGTAGGATGTAAAGTAAACCTGCTCAGTCAGTCCTGCTTTCAGATCCTGGGGCAGGAAAACATGCCAGGATATCTGATGTATATCTTGTTCTTAAGGCACGTAAAAAAGTAGCCTTTTAAAAAAATAATTTTGTCTAAATTTCTATGGCCTGTTCTTTCTGCCTTTGACCTCCGTATTTGCTCCCTAGTGAAGATGCACTGTGTTAAGTTTGTGGTAGCCATTAATGTCTCTTGTTTTTAGGAAATGCCAGGGGAGTTGTTGAGCAGTCACCGCTCTATGTCAGTCCTCGGGAAGGCCAGTCTGTCAACATTACCTGTGCACTGAGAAGCTCAGATGCAGAGAAAGGGATCTATTTGCTCAAGACTCACATGCAGCCTGAAATAGTGCTATCTGTTTCAAGTCAGAATGTTTTCACTATTTCTCCTACTTTTGCTAATCGCTTGGAGTATTCAAAGGAAGAGAAGAAAATAGTAGTAACTCTACAGAACCTATGGACAAATGACAGTGATATGTATGTATGCGTTGGAGTGTTTCACAATTCCTATTCCCTCTCAGTGAGTAGAAGGGGCACCATGGTGCTGGTTAAAGGTACGATCCTTTTGCTTGTTTAATCATAACTAACTACAGGCATGTTGTAACTAAAAGTTTGCAGAGCTTTATTCAGGATGATAAAGCACTAATCCATGGCTACAGCTCTTTCCATACATGGGAAAGTCTGGAGCGTGCGCTCAGGCTCCTCTGTGCCCCGTTGTACTAGGGCATGGGAAAAGGCACTATGTTTCTACCTGCCTTGTACAACCAGAGGGGAATTAGAAAAGAGAAAACTTGCTATAATCCCACATCTTAAAGAGAAAAAAGGTCAAAATCAGGCAACAACCACTTCAGTGTGTCTGTGAATACTCTGTCCACACTAGGAAATGAATCAGTATTCTTAACATTAGTTCTTTGACCTTAATGTGACATCGATGTCTTATGAAACCATTCCCTATAGCACTTCTTTGTGTTTAAAAATAGATCACACCAGGGAGTGCAGAACAAGTCCTCGGGCATTTACTTAAAGTACCACAGATAATAGCAGAGATGATCTCACACCCCATTATTACACACTGAGCACACTGTGACCACTCGTTCCAAAGACAGGGTTTTTTCTTCTTCTGCGGGATGGGGTTGTAACCATTTCTTAAGATGCAGACCAAACCAGCAACACAGTGCTTGCTTTTGATCTTACAGGTGCAATTTAACCCAGTGCATTGGGCTTTGATGAGATCTTTCGGCAATTAAAATAGGGTTTACAAAAGCCCTAAGAGTTGCGAAGGATCTGTTTGCAGTCTGCAAAAAAGGCTGTGGTGTCGTTCTGTGCCTCTGGCTGTAAGTGGTGCAACACCTCAGTAACTGTTAGTTGGGGAAAACAACAGCTGCACATCAAAGCAGCAGGGTGGTTACCAGATATGGTGTTATTCAGATACGGATTAATCGAGGTAACCCTTTCCTCTAGCACTAGCACTGTTCTGCTTAGCCTGTATACTCCAGATCACAATAGCCCTCCTACGTCTGCCTGTACTGCTTGCAGACCTGCCTGTTAGATACTCCTGGCTGAGCCCTCAGTATTGATGTAATACTGCAGTAGATATTTTCTGTTCCTGGTAGGAGCATGCGTGTGGTCCTACTTCTGATCAGTGGCATGGAAGCCGTAGGCTTTGTAGAGTGCTCCTCACTGACCCATCACATGCCACCCACAGTCATCACCAGCCTCTAGAAGAGCACAGGGAATGCCAGGGAGAATACCAATGGGGTGACAAATGTGGCTGTGTAGCAGACTGTTGATACCTGGTTTCTTACTGACCAGTAAACTTTTTTCATAGTAAAAATAGAATTCTACCTCTTCATATTTATAATAATAATATAATTTCAGATGCAGAAATGGAGCGGACAGACTGCGGCAACAGTTTGTGGGCCATCTATGGTCTTGCCATCGTGGTAGTGCTACTGTTTTCTGCACTGGTATGGTGTACCTTGTACCGTGTCGATGTAAGTACACTGTTACCACACCACAGCAAACCTGAATAGCTGCCTGAATACTCGGGTGCATAGCTGCCTTTGGTATTTTTTGTAAATAGTGACTGGATCAAACAAGCATTTGATCAAACTCAGGAATTATGGCTTTCTGTTGTCTCCTCTTCGCACTTGTTTAACATCTGCTGGCTGTAAGCTCTTAGCAGTAAAGACTTATGTCTTGTGTCTTATGTTTCTGTAACTCTTAGTAAATGAGGCATTGCTTGCCTTTTGATAACAAACCTCTAGTAAACCGCACAGTCAACAACCCAGCCACCCAGTGTATGTAATTCCCTGAACAGAGTACCTCACTATTCTGTTTTGCTTCTTTCTTTTTGGTCAATCAGGAATGGGGCCTTATTTACCAATCTTGTAATAGATGTAGGAGAATGTTTGGGGGGGACACAAGGGCAGCAAAAAGTCATAAAATAGCCTCATGTCTGAATATAGCTGTAAGAAAACAATTTTGCCCTGTCCCTGAAAAAGAGGTGACCGAGAAATTTTTCCTTTACAGGGATTATTTACATCCATATTCTGCAGAACGTGCCCAGTAATTATTCTTCTTTGGTAGATCCTTCTGCTCCATAAAGATTACTCAAAATTAACAGAGTATGATTCACAGGCCAGGATCCTATCTCATCCCTCCACATATGGCTTCAGTACTGCTAAAAACCAGCAGTATAACATCATTCTGGCAAAGCCAAGCAGCCCTGTGCGAACTGGTCTCCTGCGTTATCAGTAACCAATTAAGGATAAGCATTATTTATGTTGCAGCCACAGTTGCATCCAGCTCCTGAAGGAACTTTTAGTGAAACTACATCAGACTAACAATAGAAAGTTAAATAAATAGGTTGACAAATTATACCTAATCTCATAACCTCATTGGGTTATGAGAGGAATTTTAAAAATATATTTCCACTTCAAAGAGATGGATCCTTAGATGTAAATTGACTCCCTCCTTGGGAGGGATCCTTAGATGTAAATTGACTCCCTCCTTGATCGAGGTCTTTTCAAGCTCTGTTCTGAAAGACTGTTTGCTTTGTTTCGCAGCTGAAGAAATATTTCCAGAAAAAAAAGCAAAATGCAGTATATGAAGATATGTCCTACAGTTCTAGACGCAGCACCTTGGTCAGAACCAACACATACTCCATGGACAAGTCTCTGCCAGCTGGGACCGAGCATGGATCAACCATTCCTTTACAGGTCTCTCTGAGAGGTGCCTTAGCAACCCAATGCAGTAGTTGAACTAAAAATGCTGTCACCCACCTTCTTCAGTGGAAAGAAAAACCTGACTCCTTTCCAAAGCTCTTTCTGCTTTTTTGATCACTCATAAAGTTATTTTTTTAAAAATGTACAGAATATGTAGTGAAATGCAGGTCCCTTGCACGTGTGTGTGCAGTGTACTATGGAAAGCAGCAGACTATACATTTGGCTAGATTGCAATACATGGGCTTGTTTTTTTGCTTGATAAATCATCCTTTCAGAGAAGGTGGGGTAGATGGAGAGGTTTGGTTCTGAGCTTTGGTAAGTGCTCGGGAAGACCATAACAGCCTGTTTAATAATATGCAACAGATCCACAAATGCATGGATTACAGTTCTCTTATGAACCCTTGTGGGTCTGCCCAAGAGCTCAGGTAGCTAAAACTATGCAAGAGTTACAGCAAAAAATTCTCTTCTGAAGAGAATTCAGAACATTACAAGTAAAGTTCTTGATATGTGTGGGCTTACTTACCCAAAGATCATAATGGTGCCACAAAAATACAGTCAAGTCTAGATTCTAAATTACTGCCTCTATCAGTGGTACTGGCATGACTGGTGTGGGTTTTGATGTGGTTGACATGCAAAATGACTAGACTTGGGGCATGATGGCTTTTTGGGACAGCAGAAATATTTGTGACTGCTGGTGTTGACTCAAACTTCAGCTGTCTTAGACCTACACAGTGGAATGCATTTCTCCAGGTCAGGGACTCTACACTGTACAACACAAGGTGAAATAATCCGGATAAAACCAATGTCTGCATTCCAGTCTGGGCATGGGTGCATCTGGTCCAAAATCACTCTTAGCAAGGGAATTTACCAAAACCTCACATTAGTCAAGTAGAAATTAAGTTTGGTCTGGTAATGGCTTAGAACAGGGCGCTATGATGAGCTTAGCTCTTCTCTAGCTAAGGGGCGGGGGGGTTCAGCTTCTGTCAGAATATCAAATTGCCCTGTTATGAGGCAGGATTGGTGGGGTTGGCTTGTGGTTTCAGGAGACAGGCTGACACTAGAATTTTTCTTTGTTGATGCATTTGTTTAGTTGTTGAGGGATTAGGGCCAGTTAAGCACTGATGAGAGTACGTAGCTGAAGCGGAGCTGGGCACAGGGCATCCTCCCTCTCTGGAGGTGACATCTCAGCTTGCCAAGCCAAGCCTGCCACTCGGGAGAGGGCATTTCTCTTCAACTCTCACTCGTGAAATGCTGTGCACCAGACCCCAGGGGGAAACCTGCTCCTTGGGTGGCCGGCGGAGGCTGGTTTACCTTCTGAGCAGAGAGGTGTCTGCTGGTTGCGGACCCTGCAACCTCCACACAGCTCTACCTGAATGAAACTGTTTGTGGCCCGAGCTTTGTACAGTTGCTCCATATTTTTAATACATGTATTAAAGACTATTTCATATATCTTGCAAATACATGCTGGTTATTGAATGGGCTGTTTCTTTTAGTGGTTTGTGGGGATTTTTGTGTGATTCAAGCGCTTCTTGCAAATGCGGTGTAACTTGCTCCCAATGGCACCTCAATAGGCAACAGAGTAACTATTTTACACTTTACTTACATAATCTACATGTGGGTGGGTTTTTTTTTGTTTTAAAGCTAGTTGCTGAAGAAGACTTCAGACAATGTATATCAAGATACCAAAGAACACTTTATATATTCACGCAATCCTTTCGTAGCAGCTAAGATAAAATTCCTAAAGAATCAAAAATGTCAAGCGGGGATGGGTGAGGAGCAAAAGGCACTGGGCAAGCTCAGCCCGTCCCAGTTGCACCCGGTGGTGAGGACTGAGGGCCACGGGGTCCACTAAATATGGGGCAGGAGATGGTGCCTCACCACTCTTGACCCTGTTTAACGTCTCCATGAGCACGGCCCCAGCGGGGTCCCATGTCCCCTCACAGGGGTCCCATGTCCCCTCTCAGCATGCCCGGGGCAAGCCTGGCCCATGTCCCCTCGCCGCCGGCAGCAGGCCCCATTGCTGTGGTAACGGGTGGCCCTGAGGCGCCCATGGCCTGGGCAGGCCGCAGGCTGGGCACTGGGGCAGCACCGCCAGCCCCTCTGCCCCCCATGCTGCGCGGGGCTTGTCCCCAGGATGTCCCCAGAGCAGGGACGATGCCGTCTGCATTGGAGTCAAGTGGGTGGCTGTGACTCCATGACTGGAGCAGAGCAGACCCTGAGGGGCTGTGAAGGCTTCGCAGCAGGGTCCTCCCAGGGCCACTTTTGGGGCAGAACGTCTTTCCTCACAGGATGAAAAAGGGAGGCCCTCCCACCAGAGCCTGTATGGTGCTTGAAGACCTGTGGATGTGCTGACCCACTGCCGGAGGGGCCAAACAAGGGCAGCCTGCTGCCACCTTGTCACCACAATGTCCCCTCCTGCTGGGGCCGGCCCTGGCATGAAGCTACGACCATGCATGGCCATGCTCGGGCAAGGCAGTGCTGTCCCTTGGCCAAGCCAGGTACACCATTGAGACGAAGTAGATTGTGTCTGAGTGTCCCCTGCAGCATTTTGACCATTTCTGTCTTTGTCCCTGGACAAGCCCAGCCCAGGGGCGGATGTAGAGGTGGGGGAGATGATCTAACAAATTTGATGCCCATCTAGGAGCTAAAGTGCTCATAATCAATTACTTTTTGTCATATTTTCATCTTTGGAAAAAAAAGGTGTGGGTTTAATAGATAAGGGCAATAGTCCCAGAGAAACGATGTATGGAGGCTTGAGATGAGCAAGCTGCCATTTGCCATCAGCTCTCTGTAGAAATACTACTGTGAAAACATGACCACAAATATGAAAAAAAAAACAAACTGTGAAAGGAAACGGTAGTGGAGGTGGTTTTTTCAGCTTGGTGTAAATAAAATTTAAAAAAAAAAGTAAAGCCTAGCTGAGGAGAATGACATATAGTGAGACATTTTATGAGTTGTACCTGGGTGGAGGGGCAGAGAATCAACCCCATGAGTAACCCAAGCAGTGGTGAATGAACTGCTTGAAGAGAAATGCTGGGGAAATGAGCTCGAGCACATTGGAAGAAAGGGTGGACATTTGGCAGTTCAACAGGGTGGAAGAGGTCCTAAGATGCAGCGTGGCCTCAGAGCTTCCCTGGAAGGCAGGCAAATGGAATTGCTCACCTCCAGAGTTGAAGACAGAATTGTCCTGGGCTTATCCTGTTGCCTTTGCTGTTTTTCTGGCTCTTGTCCCTGCTCTGCAGAGAAACAGGATTTTAAAGGAGAGGTGCGAAGCCCAGTATAAGGCTGTGAGACTGCACCAGGACCGAAAACAGAGGAAATGGCATCAGGGCATTAATGAGATCCCCTGCCACATTTCAAGAGCTAAATGACAGAAGCTGCAGCTGGGACCAAAGCAGCCTCAGGTGGGGGAGCAGAACTGCAGCTCTAATATCAGCATTTATTGAACACAGATGGAGAAAGCTGAGGCAGCTGAGCAAGGACAGTATGTCAGAAGCAGAAAAAAACACTACAGGCAAGGTACAAGCCATGTCAGAAGTGACTCCGGGTGCTAGGTCTATATGGAGTAGCCTGGGCTGAGCTCTTGGGAAGGGGAAGAGGGTGCTCATCAGAAATAATTTTTGGTTTTTTGCAAAACTGGAGAGACCAGCCAGAACACGTAAATTACTGCTGGTGGACGTACATTGTAGGACATTGAATTGTTCCCAGTGACTGTCCTGCAAGCAAATGTTTAAAACAGCTTCTAGCAGTTTTAAATGCTGCATGACATATTTTAAATCCTAAATTGGTAGAGTTGCCTGGAGTTAGTTTCTTCCACCCATTTGCCACTGGTTGCTGCTTGTGATCATTTCCATCCAATAGCTCATGTATGAGACTTTCTATTATTATTTGGAGGATGTGACCAAAATGTGTCCAGCACTACTTGTTCTGGTGAAGACAAGCCACAGACTGGTGATTTCTCAAGGACCCCGTGGTAGTCAAAAAAATATTTCCATTCACAGCAGACAATCTTTTGTAAGCACTTGTTTTTCAAGGCATTTAGTTTCTTTTTGAATGTTTTGTAACACTCAACTTGCAATCATGTATTAGCAGTCAGTTTACAGTCAAGTTGAGAACACGCAGTTTTTTCTACTGGTTCACAGATTTGGTTTTCACAGTTCAGTGCTGAAAATATCGTCTTGGTGCGAATTTTTAATCTGGCATCTTTGGTTAATATGCTGCTTCTCTAGTTAATGAGTTCTGCCACTGCATCTACTTCTAAGAGTATTTCTGTTGTCATACATGGGTTTTAACCGTATTTTAAATGCCTCAGTAATGACCGGATACTGACTATGGGCAGCATGCAAGAAATCTTCCAAATTCCACTTGAAATCTCAACAAGTTTTAACTTATTTTTTGGTAAATCCCCAATAGTACATTACTGATCTTAACTCTCTCATATAGCCAGGCCATCCTACCTTGTCTACAATATCCTCATATGCAGAGGAGTGGCTTAATATTGAGATCACCTTTTTCATTCAAGAAAGTGAAATAAAGCAACTTGCCTAAATATTGATCAGAATGAATAAAACACTTTTTCCTAACATTAACATTTTACTGCATTTTCATCATCTTGTACAAGTAGATTATCTGTCCATCTTGAGGATGAGAGGGGACTCCACTATGTAGAAATAAGCTGCTAATGGGGCTGAATGAACTCTCTGCTTATTCCTTCCTGTGCAACTACTTCACAAGAACAATTATTTTGCTCTCAGGTGGTATGTGACTGCAGCAACTGGCTGGCATATTTCTGAAACTCTCCCCAGAGAACATGTCCATGTCTCCAGAGAAGATATCCACCTGAGGTATTAGAAATTACCTGCTATGCTCTCCTGCTTCTGACCATAATGAGAATAATATAGTATCAGAGAATTATCTAGGTTGGAAGGGACCTTTAAGTTCGTCTGGTCCAACCATCAACCTAACTCTGACAAAACCAAAAAACCCCATCACTAAACCATGTCACTAAGCACTATGTCAACCCATCTTTTGAAGATCATCAGGGATGGTCCCTCAACCACTTACCTGAGCAGCCCATTCTAATGCTTAATAACCCTTTCAGTCTAAAAAATTTTCCTGATATCCAATCTGAACCGCCTCTGGCATATCTTGAGGCCATTTCCCCTTGTCCTATTGCCTGTGACTTGGAGAAGATCTAAGTATATCTAAGAATATCTAAGTATTGCAGATGCCAAGTGAAAGATGCTCTTTCGTTGTTACTGTGAATTGGTAACAGGAATTAGTAACTGTCTGTTCATTTCTCTTAACAGTTCATACTGCCTTGAGACATTTGGTCCATCTCCTCTTAGCGCAGTGGAAAACTACATGTTTGTTTCTTCACGGAACCTGGCTGAGCTCTTGGGTTCAGGAGCCAGTATTGCATCCACAAATGCATTAAGATATAGAGGGCTAAATTTTGCAGCCCTTTCTCATATGAATGGTAAAAGTTGTAAAAGCTTACTCTGGGGCTATTTGTATGAGTAATGCTTTATCAACAGGAGTAATCATTTCATCCTCAGAAGTCAGTGTTTGTTACTCTGCTCCGATATGACAGGGGAAAAAAACAGAGCTTTGTGTTTTGGGGTCCTCTTTCTCTACACATATTACCTTGTAGATAAGCCTTCTGAGAAACCACAAAGGCCAGTTTGCTGCTGATGGTTTGCACCTACTTTATAATATCTTTGAGCAGAGACATAATTGACAGCAAGCTTGTGGCTGAATGACATTTAAGGTATATAGCTATGTCCCCATCTGGTTTTTAAGGGCTGATGGTAAGATGACACTTTGCTCAAATGTCTGTGACTTCTGAGAAAGAAACTTACTTAAGAAATACTTCGTAACATCCCTGTGGATTTCTCTGCTGCTTTCTTTCTCATGCACTATAATAATGTAGTGCAAGATTTTGTAGGGAGTCTCCTAAAAGTGGTGGCAGACAGTGACTAAACTCAGCTTGTGGACTCAAAACTCCTTCTTTCGAGAAAGAAGACCCCTTCTCAAGGTTTCAAAAATGCATTAATGAGAAACTGTGCATGTATGTGTGTACACACTGCAGGTGAAGAAACTACAGTTCCTAAATGACTGTCAAGGCTAAAATTAAAAATGGGCCTTGCTCAGAGAGCCATGTGCTCCTCCCTTGCAGGAGCTGTTTTCAAAATAAAATTGTTGCATACAGAAATAGATAATTTTATTTCTGTCTTAGCCAAAACAGGAAATAGAGGAGAGTTTCTACCAGATTTTTAGCTTACAGAGAAACTCAAATGAACAGTCTGAATGGAGGCTTGGTGAACCAGGAGGAATCCATCCTCAAAAGAACGTCTGTTGTCCTCCTAGTTCTTTTGTTGATAAATCTCACTGTTATGATTATGGCAAGTTAGCAAATAATC